TCCCACCATCCCACCACCCACCATCCAATCCATCATCCACGCACCACACCATCCACCACCATCCATCCATCCATCCACCACCACCTACCCATCCACCATCCACCCATTTCATCCATCAATCCACCCATCCACCATCCACCACCCATCCATCCAATCCATCCACCACCACCACCTCATCACCATTCCACCAGTTCATCCAATCCCATCCACCCACCCATCCACAACCACCCACCCAATCCATCACATCCAATTCCACCCCATCCACCATCCACCACCTCATCCATACATCCAACCCACCCATCCACCATTCCCAACCAACCCATCGGAGCGAGCGCGAGTCAGCGAGCGCAGCCCGAGCGCGCGAGCGCGACCGAGGCGCGAGCGCGGATCCATCGAGCGCAGCGCGAGCGCGAGCGCGAGTCCAACCCATCGCGAGCCGAGGGCAGCGGAGCGCGAGCGGCGAGCGCGCGAGCGCGAGCGAGTCCGAGCGCGAGCGCGCGAGGAGCGCGCGAGCGCGAGTCCATGCCACCCACCATCCACCACCCACCCATCCACACCATTTTTTTTCCCCACCCACCACCCCCGCCCATCCACCATCCACCCATTCATCCATCCATCCACCCACCCATCCACCACCCATCATCCATCCAATCCACCCACCCATCACCATCCACCACCCAATCCATCCGAATCCAATCCATCCATCCCACCACTACCATCCACTCATCCCCATTCATCCATCCATCCAACCCCACCCAATCACATCCACAACCCATCCATCCATCCATCCACCCACCACAACCCAACCCATCCCCATCCACCATTTCCATCCATCCATCCACCCACCATCCCCATCCACACCCACCATCAATCCATCCATCCCATCCACCATCCACCACCCATCCAATCCAATCCACCCAACCCATCACCATCCACCACCCATCATCAATCCATCCATCCATCCATCCACCCACCCATCACCAATCCACCATCCACCATCCATCCATCCATCCATTCCACACCACCAAGTCCATCCATCCACCCACCATTCCCACCATCCACCCCCCATCCATGCCACCACCATCCACCACCAGCATCATCACCCACCACCATCCCTCCACCCACCCACCCAATCCACCATCCACCCATCCATCCATCCACCTATCCCACCATCCATTCCATCCATCCGACGCATCCATCCATCGACCCAACCCAATCACCATCCCACCATCATCCCATCCACCCATTCCACCATTCCACCATCCAATCCACAATCCACCCCACCCATCCACCATCCACCATCCATTCCAGTTCCATCCATCCACCCATCTCACCCACCCACCACACCACATCCATCCATCCACCACCATCCACCATTCACCAATTCCATCCATCATCACCCACCCATCCACCATCATCCATCCACCCAACCCATCCACATCCCACCTCCATCCATCCACCATCACCATCACCACCATCCATCCATCCATCCACAACATCCAATCCAATCCAACCCACCACCATCCACACCCACCACCTCCACCACCCATCCCACCACCCATCATTCCACCATCCATCGATCATCCATCCATCCATCCATCCATCATTCCATTCCACCACTATCCACCACCCACCCACCCATCCAATCCATCCATCCCATCCACCCCAGCCATCCAATCCATCCATCCACAGTCCACCATCATCCACCCATCCAACCAATCCATCCACCCAAAACCATCCATCCATCCATTCATCCCCACCCCCACCATTCCAACTCCAACCCACCTATCCATCCGATCCGCATCCATCCATCCATCCACCACCCACTCCACCCCATCCACCCATCCATCCATCCATGCCAGTCCACCCATCAATCCCACCCATACCATCCAATCCATCATCCATCATCCACCCACCCACCATCCATCCACCATTCCACCCGATCCATCATCCACCCAACCCATCCACCCACCTGTCCAACCACCCACCTACCCATTCTTTCATTCATCCATTTGTCCAGCCAGTAAGTAATTACTGAGCACCTACTACGCACCGGCACTGTCCCACGCTCTGGGGACACACTAGTGAACAAAACAGACGGACAAGCTCTCACGATGCTTATGTTCTAACTAAGGGAGAGTGATTATTTAAAAGACAATGTAGAAAATCAAACAGCCGAACCTGGGTATTTAGTGACAAGAATGAGGAAGAAAGCAAATCGCGGCGACGTGGAAGTGAGTAACTTCCTAGAAGAGGGGCGATCAGATCCGGTGGTCCAGAAGGGCTTCACCAAGGAGGGGACCTTTGAGCTGAGGCCTGAAGGTCCGGAAGGAGCCAGTCGTACACAGTTCTGTGGAAGGGGCACCCCAGGCAAGCGGGGAAAGCACGTGCAAAGGCCCTTGGGCAGAACCACGAGCAAAGGAACCACAAAGCAGGGGCGCGGGCGGCGTGGGTGAGGGGAGGGCTGGCTTGGAGGCTGGCCAAGCTCGTGTCTCCTCAGCCTGTGACAACAGGTGAGGCTCCAGGGGGCTCTGGGAAGCTGGCGGGTTTGGGCGGGACGCCCAGGCGTGGAGGGGCTGCCGCCCTGCTGAGGCCCCGTGTCTGCTGCGCTCGGAGCTCACACGCGGGCTGGGCCGGGGACAAGGCCACACTGCCAGTTCCCAGATCACCCCCTGCGGTGCCCTTCAAGCGGTGCCGTGTGCCTCACGCTCAAACGGCCCAGAACGCAGGGGAGCCGGCACTGGAAGACGCTGCGTGCGAGGCTGTGCACCCCACGGGGCCCAGAACCTTCCGTGGGAGCCGTGCCGCGGCCCCTCCAAACATCCACCCCGCCGAAGCCAGCAGCCAGGGCCGCCCCGAAAACATCACTCTGATCCCCCTCTCCCCCCGGGCACCCGTCGGGGTGAAATCTGCTAACGAGACCACCAGGGGAAGGTTCTGGAAAAAGCATCCCGGGCAGGCAGTGTGTGGCGTGGGGGTGGGGGGCCGTGTCCAGCACCCCACAATCGGGGCGTCTCTTTCCTGACCCCGCGCCAGCTCCCTTCGGGCTCCTCATGAGAACGCGAACTCAATCCTCGTGCCGCCATGTCACCGAGGCCCAGAGAGGGCGAGCGTCTCCCAAACGTCACACAGCCAACACGCGGGGCCACGCGCCGGGCTCTGAACGCCACTTAGACGACAAGATGAGGAGGGTGACGAGAGCTGCCGGTCACGCTTCCCCAGGGCGAGGTACCCGACCCCGCCGTGGCCGTCTGTCGTAACTAACTCACTGCACCATCACGGAGCCCCGTGAGCGAGGCCCCGTCACGCAGCTACCTCCTCTTACCTACGGGGACACTGAGGCAAGACGGGGCCGGCCCGTCTGCGCAGTGGGATGGCGGGGCCGGGGTGGGAGCCCCGAGGACCAGGCTGCCGCCCCGAGGAATCGGCCGCAAGCTCAGGGCCTGGCTCGGCTGGCCGCACGGCTGAGCCCAGACGGGGCAGGGCGGGCGGGGAGTGCCACCAAGTCACCACGTCTGACCAGGGTGGGAGGTGGCGGTGGCCTCCCAGCCAGCGCGCCCTCAAGCCTGACCTGTCACAGACAGCCCCCGACCGGGGGCAGCCGCCACGCGGCCACGGGGCCCACGGGCAGGCCATGGCGACGCCCATGCCGCGTGCCCCCCCTGGGGCAAGGGGCTCAGCCCTGCAGCCGCCTTGGAATGCCCCGTGCCCCCCCAGGGGGAAGGGGCTCAGCCCTGCAGCCGCCCTGGGACGCCCCATGCCCCCCCCAGGGAAGGGTTCAGCCCTGCAGCCGCCCTGGGACGCCCCATACCCCCCCAGGGAAGGGTTCAGCCCTGCAGCCACCCTGGGACGCCCCATTTCCCCCCAGGAAGGGGCTCAGCCCTGCAGCCGCCCTGGAATGCCCCATGCCCCCCCCAGGGAAGGGTTCAGCCCTGCAGCCACCCTGGAATGCCCTGTGCCCCCCAGGGAAGGGCTCAGCCCTGCAGCCGCCCTGGGACACCCCATGCCCCCCAGGGAAGGGCTCAGCCCTGCAGCCGCCCTGGGACGCCCCATGCCCCCCCAGGGAAGGGCTCAGCCCTGCAGCCGCCCTGGGACGCCCCCTGCCCCCCAGGGAAGGGCTCAGCCCTGCAGCCACCCTGGGATGCCCCATTTCCCCCCAGGGAAGGGTTCAGCCCTGCAGCCGCCCTGGGACGCCCCCTGCCCCCCCAGGGAAGGGCTCAGCCCTGCAGCCGCCCTGGGACGCCCCCTGCCCCTCGCCCACGTCCAGGGCCGAGGCAGGCCCCTCCCCCCACTTGCAGCCGGAGCGGCGGCCGGGGTCAGCGGCGGTCATTCCTAACGGCCCGCCGGGCAGTCTCCAGGAGGCAGTGATCTACGGCCCATCACCGCGGGCGCGAGGGCTCTGGGATGGATCGCCCGCCGCGGGAGCCGGGGCAGGCGGGGACACGCGCAGGTGAAAAATGAACTTCATCAGACGCCCCGGCGTTCACCGCCATCCCTCAGCGGTCGGGCGCCGGGGGCGGGGGAGGGGGGGCGCAGAGGCACCTGCCTGGCGCGGGGGCTGCGGCCACCACCACCCCCGGGGCCCAGCCCAGCCACGGCCCGCTCGGCCTCCCGCCTGCGCCCCAAGGACCCCGAGGAGGAGCCGTCTGTGGGGGTGCGGGGGGGGGTTGGGGGGGAATGGCTGCCCCTTTCATTTTGGGCCCCCCGGGAAGGCCCGGGGCCTGGCTGGACAAGACGGCCTGGTCTGGGGGGGGGGGGGGGGGGGGGAGCAAGCGTCTCCCACCGGCCCGAGTCTCTGCCCGGCGTCCACGCCCCTCCGGACGGTGACCTTGACAGCGGTGGCTGTGCCACGCCCATCTGGGTCCAGCCTCATGCACACACGTTTGGTGCCAGGATGGTGCCGGGGGTGCAGGGTGGGGGGGGGCGGGGGAGGGGCTGTGGTGTAACCATGGCGAGAGACACGCAGTAAACACACCTCCCCCTCCCCCGGGTCCCTCAGCCTCCTGCGCTGACATGCAGCCACAGGCCCCCACCGGCCGAGGCCGCCCCGCCCAGGGCCATGGCCCAGGTGCCGCATGCCGGCCCGGATCGGGGCAAAGGGCTTCCTGGGCAAGAACAGGCCTGTCCCTGCCCGCCTGGCAGCGCGGCACAGGGCCCGGGGCGGCCCTCAAGGTGTCTGAGGACACGGGTGCCAGGGCCCCCAGGTCAGCCCGCCCACACACCTGTGCAGGTCACACCTGGTGGGAGAAGGGGGAGGGGGACCCGGCGGCAGGGGACGGTAAAGGAGTCTTTTCTCATGACACTGGTCCACACCCGGTGCTGAGCAGTGCTGGAAACTCACATGACCCGCCTGGAGACCCGCCACCGTTGGTTTTGTTTGACAGGTGTGGCAGTGAAGGCCCAGAGAGGCTGAGAGAGTGGTTGGAGGTCACACAGCAAGGACACAGCGGAGGTGAGAGGAAGCCAGGGCCCGGGCCGCCTGCTGTTGAGGTGAGGGAGAGGCCGGGGACCCCAGCTCAGGCCCCTGAGGACGGGGCACCTGCCGCCTGCCACGTGCTCAGAGCTGGGTCTCGGCCAGCGTGAGGCACGTGCCTGCTCCTGTCAGAGAGGGTCTCTGGGCCCACGGAGGGGCCGGGCTGGGCAGTCTCCCGCCTCGTGTCTACACTGGCACACCAGCACCCTGCTCTGAGCCTGTCCCCATGGATGAAGGGAGGTGACACTCCCTGCCGCCCAGCGGGGCCTGAGGGCCCAGGGAGAGGGACCCTGTGAGGCTGTGCCCGTGTGCACGGGGCCGTTGGCGTCAACTGGATTCCAGGGGAAAACCAAATGGGGCCTGAACTGAAGCCGGGCGCGGCTGCCAGGACTCCCCGGGGGACGGCCAGAGACTGACGGCAGCAGCTTGTGGGCCAAGGACACCGCCCTGTGGACACTTTCACTGGCCCAGAGACCAGCGGTGCACTCTGACCCCAGGATCCGCGGGTAAGAGGCAGGTGGGGTCCTCCTGCCCCCTGCCGGATGACTTCCTGCCTTGGGGACGCTTGGATGGCAGAGTCCTCTTCCCCCGCCAGGCCAGCCACCGCCCTCAAGCCCCGGCAGGCTCCAGGCCTGGGCCCCTCCCCAGCGGACAGGCACCCAGAGGCAATCAGAAGGAAGCAGGAGCGGTCCTGCGGTCACCCGGGCTGGCCTGCGGGGAAGAGCGGGCGTCAGAGAGAGACCGCAGGAGTGTGTGTGTATGCGTGTGTGTGTGTGTGTGTGTGTGTGTGTGTGTGTGTACAGAGGGCTGTGGGGGGGTGTGTGTGTGTGTGTGTGTGTGTGTGTGTGTACAGAGGGCTGTGGGGGGGTATGCTAGCAGCTCTGTGTGTGTGTGTGTGCAAATGTGTGCTGTGTATGCAGGTGTCTACCGTGTGTACGTGTCCCACGTTGTGTGTTCATGTGTTGGGAGCTCTGTGTGTGTGCATGTATGCACATGCATGTACACGTGTGCACATGTGTGTGCATGTGTATACAGGTGTATGTGTGCTGTGTGCATGCAGGTGTCTATTGTGTGTACACATGTGCTACGTTGTGTGTTCATGTGTTGGGAGCTGTGTGTGCAGGTGCATGTGTGTGTGCAGCTATGTATGTGCATGTGTGTGTGCACTATGTATGTGCATGTGTGTGTGCACTATGTATGTGCATGTGTGTGTGCAGCTATGTATGTGCATGTGTATGTGCACTATGTATGTGCATGTGTGCGGGCATGTGTGTGCATGTGTGTGCGTGTGCAGCTATGCATGTGCATGTGTGTGCACTATGTATGTGCATGTGTGTGCACTATGTATGTGCAGCTATGTGTGTGCATGTGTGTGTGCACTATGTATGTGCATGTGTGTGTGCAGCTATGTATGTGCATGTGTGTGTGTGCACTATGTATGTGCATGTGTGTGCGCACTATGACCTGCCCTGGGCGTCCTGCTCCCATCCCGCAGCACCTCGCCTTGCTCTGTCTGCACCCCTGTTCCGGGCTGTCCTTCCTCCTCACCCTGCGTCCCCCGTGTCTGGGCCCAGGGACCCGACAAGCGGAGCTTCCACGGGCAGATGCCCCTAACTTTCAAGCCCTCTGCCGTCTCATGGGGAGAGTGCGGGGCTGGGGTCCCGCCCGCCAGTGCGCCTGGGAGTGCCGTCGCCACTTATGCAGAGGCGGCAGGTCCCTGCGAGTCCCTCTGAAACAGGGGGGCTCACGGCCAGGGCCCCCAGATCTGATTGGCCTCCCGGGAGTAAACCCTGTCCCCTGTGTCTAGCGACTGCAAGGGGCCGTCCCTGCCCCACTGCAGTCAGGCTCTGTGGGCACAGGAAGGGCCCAAGGCCAAGATAAGAGGGTGGGCGGGAGCCTCGGGCAGAGAGATAAGCCAAGGGAGGCTGTGTGCCCACAGCGAGGGAGGCCGGGAGATTACCACGCCGCGTGGGGTGAGGGGTAGGGAGTGGCCACACTGCACAGGGCCGGCCAGGGCTGCAGGACAGATCGGCAGCAGGCCGGCCTCAGCTCTGCACTGTCAAGTCCACTAGTGGAGCCAGGGTGGTCTGGCTGCCTGGTTCAGGTCCTGGCTGTCACACCCGCCAAGCCTCGGTTTCCTCCTCTGCAGAACGGGGGACAACCACACCCACCTCTTAGAGATGTCGCAAATGCTGAATTGGCACCTGGCAGAAGCCACGTGCATGTGCATATTAAATAAAACCAAACACATAGTACGGCCAGCCAGGTTCCCGGAAGAACTGCAAACAGGTGTTCAGAGACCCACTTGCACGTGCAGGTTCCCAGCAGCCAGCAGGTGCAGACGGCCCAAAGACAAGGACGGACACGTTAAACGGGGTCTAGGCCGGGCGCGGTGGCTCATGCCTGTGGCGCCAGCACTCCGGGAGGCTGTGGTGGGAGGATCGCTTGAGCTCAGGAGTTCGAGACCAGCCTGAGCAAGAGCGAGACCTCGTCTCTACTAAAAATAGAAAAAATCATCCGGGCATGGTGGCACATGCCTGTAGTCCCAGCTACTCGGGAGGCTGAGGCAGGAGGATCGCTTGAAGCCCAGGAGTTTGAGGTTGCTGTGAGCTACGAGGACACCACTGCATTCTACCCAGGGTGACAGAGTAAAACTCTGTCTCAACAACAACAACAACAACAACAACAACAAGGCAAAAAATAAAACCGGGTCTATGCAAACCCTGGAATATTACTTGGCCCTGAAAAGGAACAGCCAGAGAGGCCCACACGTGATGCAACAACATGGAAGACACCATGCTGCGTGAGAGAAGCAGACACAAAAGGCCACACACGCATCCTGCGGTTCCACGTGTAGGAAACACGCACAACAGGCGAATCCACGCAGACAGAAAGCAGAGCGGGTGTCCTTCTGGGGTGACGGGCTGGTTTTGCCCTGGACATTGGCACTGCCTGCACACGCTGTGAGTGCCCACGCGCGCTGTGAGTGCCCGCGCACGCTGTGAGTGCCTGCACACGTTGTGAATGTGCCCAATGCCACCGGGCCGTGCACTTTAAAGCAGTTGGTTTTACGTCATGTGAATTTTCCCTCAACTGAAACGAACTGACATGCGTCGCGAAGACTTTACCGGGCAGTCGGCGGGTCCCGCACCCCCCTGGAAACCCACAGGTCCCCAAGTAAAACGCAGAGGACGGGGAGAAGGACCGTGCCGGCGGGCTCCTCCCTGGCTGGCGGAGAGGGGAGGGCTGGCGGCGAGGCCGCGTGATGGATGGGCTCCGCGGCCCCCCGGTGAGCGGTAATTGCGTCTAATTAGGGCCGGGCCACGCCAAATGGAGCCCATTTGTTAACCTTGTTTATGTCAAGATTTCACATCGGGACGACCGTCTCATACAGAGCACGGATCGAACTCTGAGATGTGACCCCAAACCTCGACCGTGTTGGGGGGCCACAAAGATGGGGGCAGCCCCAGGGTGGAGCGTCAGGGGTCCCCTGGGCAGCAGGGGGTCCTCCCACCTGCCTCACGCCTTCCTCCCACCTGCCTCCCTCTTGCTTGGCCAAATGGTGCCCCAGGCTTCAGGCTCCCCATCTGCGGAATGGTGGGGTCACCCAGGGCTCAAGGAAGGAGGTTGGGGGGGTACCCGCTGCCCCCCCCCTACAATTCAGAGGAGGCCCCAGAGCAACCTCTCCTCCCCCTGGACTCTCTGCCTCTAAGAAGACTTCGAACTCTGTCCTCTGCAGCTTGGAGTCCTTCAAGTCCCAGCTCCGACCCTCCTCCTCCTCCAGGGAGTCCTCCCGGGTTGTCTATGCCGTGTGGCCCCCCGCCCCCCTGCTCCTCGGGGTGTAACAGCCCCACCTGCCCAGCTGGACGTCGTGATCCCCGAGGACAAGACCCCACCTCTGACCTCCTGCTGTTGCTCATGGCCACGGTGACTATCCCTGTCAGAATTTCCTAGCCAGTCCTGTGGTCCTTATAACCCATCAGAATGTTCTAGAAAGGGCGATGCTTTGGCTTCCCAAGGCCAGACACCCAATGCCCTGTCCTTGGATTTGCAAAATAAGCCCTTTTGCCCACCACGCTTGGCAGGGGTGAGGTCCCCAGGAGGTCACGTCCTGGGCTCTGCCAGGCAGGAGGGCTGGCGGGAAACGTCTGCCCCCAAGACCTTGCTCAGGGGCTTAATCTCAGCGACCTGGGCCAAGGAGCGGAGCTGGAGGGGGCCACAGAGATCTGCTTCCTGCCCCTCCCGGGCCATTGCCGCTGGGCCCTGGCTGGGCCTCGGGGTCGGGCGGCAACAGGAGCACACGCCCAGCGGAGGGGACTCCAGGCCCAGGGGAGGGGACTCCAGGGACCCCGGCCTGCCTGGCGTCTGGCAGGGAGCAGGGCCTGGGCCCAGCCCGCCATGGAGCAGGGGGCGGCAGGAAACCGCCCCCCAGGAACGGGGCGGGACCCCGGCTGAGCCCCAAGAACCCAGAAATCCTGCCGGGGCTCACCTCGGGCGCGGGAAGGAAACTGGTATCGGAAAGCACCTACTATGTGCCAGGAGCACCTGCCGGAATCTTCCCCGGAGCAGGGTGGGGAGAGGAAAGGCGAGAAGGGCGTGATGTTCTCCCTCCCACGCGCGCCCACCCTCCCCGTGTCTGGCAGCTTGAGGCTGGGTGGGCGTGTGGACACCAGAGGGAACTGCCAGACTCGATGTGCGAGGGTGGGGGTGGGGGGGTGGAGGGGGGACTCGGCGTTTTGGGAGGCGGACGGGGGAGGGGCACGGGGCCCTGTGCGCGGTGGGGCGGGCAGGCGGCTTGCTTGTCCAAGGCCACCTGGCCGGGGACAGCCAGAGCCAGGCTCTGCATGGGGTGTCTCAACTCTCAAGTCCCCTGGCTGCGCAGGTCCAGCCCTGAGACTCCTGGAGAGACCTCTCCCCAAATGGAGGCAGGAGGAGGTCTCGGGGCAGCACCGGGGAAGCCAGGTGGCCGGGGACGGAAGGGCTGAAGGGGGACGAATGAGTGGCCATTTCCACCCCAAGTCGCCAGCCCGGCCCCGTCTGGAGACCCTGGGCGTGTACGCGGCCCCAGGCTGCGGCAGTTCTCCTGAGCCTCAGTCTGCAGGTCTCTGAGATGGGCGAGTACCTGCCTGGATGGCCAGTGCCTTGGGGGAGGGAGTCAGAGGAGGAACCACGCAGAGCGTGCCCTGCGGGGCCCCCTGTCAGTCCGCGCCCAGCACGTGGGCGTTGTCATGGGGTCACTATTATCCCGGGGAGCTGGCCCCTGGGGGGAGTGCGGGAGGCTGAGCGGCCTCCTGTTCCCGCCCTCCCACCTACGACCCCCGGCTCCGGCCTGGCATGGATGGCGGGTGGCCGCGCAGTGGCCACAGGCCGGGGAAGGGGCGGGGGGGGGGGCTGGCCTGAGCATCGCAGTCTGAGAAGGGTCTGCAGGCCCGGCCCTTCCTGACCCACCAGAGCCCGCCACGGAGGAGGGAAGCCAAGGAGTCAGGGCCAGTGTGGACGTGGCCCCCCAGTGGCCTGGCACCACATGTGCATGGCTGTCATACAGCCTGCCGTTCCTGGGGAAATCCTCTCGGGCATGCGTCCCCAAGCCCACTGGGGTGCAGATGACAAGCCGATGAGCCCGCTCTGGGGCAGGGCTGCCCACAGCAGGCCCCAGATAAGGAGGAGGGGCCTGCGGTTTCCCCTGCACGAGGGGGAGCGGGAGGGGAGGAGGGGGAGGAGGAGTGAGCGGGAGGGAGACGGAGGGAGGAGACAGAGGGAGGGAGGAGAGGAGAGAGGTAGGGAAGGGGAGGAGGACAGATGGAGGGGAGGAAGGGAGGGAGGAGGGAGAAGGAGGAGACAAGGGGAGAGGGAGGAGGGGGGAGGAGGAGTAGGCAGGAGGACAGAGGAGGGCGAGGAGAGGGGAGGGAGTAAGAGGAGAGACAGGAGTGGAGAGGAGGGAGGCATGGGAGGAGGGGGGAGGGGAGGAGGGCGGGGAGGAGGCCTCCCGCCAGCTCCTGCACTCAGGGAGGGAGGACTCTCCTGCACCCCTGCTGGTGTTGACGAACCAGGGGTTCACCCTGGGCCAAGCCTGGTGCCACCGCCCGGGCCAGCCCAGCCCCTGCCTGCCAGCGGCAGTTTCTGCGCCGGGCGCTCCCGCCACCACCATCCCGCTGACGCGTCTACCGGTCTCTCCTTCCCTCCTCTTTTCAGGTGAGGCACTGAAGGCACAGAGAGGCCCGGTAACTTGCCCCAGATCACACAGCCAGGAGAGGCTTCGACGGGCGTCTGTTCCCCCGGGGCCCTGCGGAGCCAGCAGCCCAGGCCCGCGTCCGTCCCGAGGCAGGGGCTCATTTCTGGGCAAGGAGGGCGGTGAGGGGTGGAGGAGGGACGGGGTCAGAACCACCAGGGAGGCTGCGGGCTGCAGCGCCCGAGATTCCGACATTCCGACGGAACCGGATGCTCCTGCGGAAGGGGCTGCAGGGGACGCCCAGGACGCCAGGTGTCCCTCTGTGCTCCCAGCGCAGACACGGCTTCCTACACCCCACGCGAGGCCCGCCGGGGTGCCCTGTCACCCCCACCCGCACACCAGGCTCACGGTGAAAGGCGCCGGCATTCCAGCATCAGACCTGAAAAGGTGGCGGGTGCAGACGATGGGAGGCGGGGATTGTGCAGTGCGCAACCTGCGGAACTGTACGAACGGCCCGGAAACCCGGCGGGGCCAGCAGCCCCAGGGATGGTGGCCGTGGAGGGGAAGATGGGGGGGGTGCAGACACAGCCTCCCTCCCCGGCTCTCCTCGCTGTCCTCTCCCCCCTTCCCAGCCCTGCCCCCGCCGCCCAGCCCCAGCCTCCCCCTCTGCCTCCCCTCCCTCCTCGCAGGCACCTGTGGCTTGGCAGGGCCGGCGCCCGGGGGCGAAGGCAGACGCGGCCCCTCCCCCACCCTGGGCGCGCCTCCAGCCACCGGCTGTGCTGCGGTGACAGCCGCCTCCCGGGACTCTGAGAACAGAGCCAGGGCTATGTTCCTGTGTCCCCAGCCCGGACCACACGCCCCGTGGGCGGGCGGCGGGGAGGGCAGAGCCGCCACCCCACCCGCCCACGCCGCCCGGCCACAGGCTCTGTCTGTGACCAAACCTGCCATTACGGAGCCGGGAGGCAGCCAGCCCGGCCACCAAGCTCACCCCAGCCCCACCCCGGGGGGGGGGGGGGGTACCAGGCGGTCCCCGAGGGTGGGGGCGGGGCAGGGACTCTGTGCCGGGTCCCACGAGCCTGCCCAATGCAACATGAGATCGAGCTCCACGATCATCCCCATTGCACGGATGGGGAAACTGAGGCTCAGACTTGCCTGAGCCTGGCTGTGGGCCATCTCACCACCAGAGGAGGGATGCTGGTGAGAGGCATGCCTGCTCTGTGGTGGGCGGGGGCCCGAGGGTCCGGGCAGTTGCTCAGGCCTGAGGGGGAGCCCTCCTGGCTGAGAGGGGGCCCCGCTGGGGATTCCGGCTGTGGAGTTGCTGGGCTGGCCCCTGGCCCCTGCCTGCCTGGGGCAAACTTCCTGCCTCTCTGAGCCTCAGTTTCCCCATCTATAGAACGGGGCTGGGGTGGGCCTGACAGCAGCAGGAGAGTTGGCATGCAGCAGGTGCTTAATAGATGTTCTTTCCCTTCCCATGCCCCAAGCGATGGGCAGAAGCCAGGACAGTGGGGGGAGGTGGGAAGGGTGTCTGGGGACTGTCCCCAGGCAGGTGGCAGGCCTGCGTGACAGCCCAGCCCGGGCTCCTGGTGCAGCTGCCTGGGGGTGCAGCCACCGGGAGGGTGGTCAGAGGTGTCCGGGCTCCAGCCTCCACGCCAGCAGCGTCCTCCCCCCCAAACCTGGCAGAGCACTAGCCTGGCCCCCCAAGGCCCATCCAGGCCAGGGGCGCCAGGACCTCAGTGTCAGGCCAACCTGCATGCCAGCAGTGCGGCAGCCCAGCCGGAGAGTGGAGGGTCAGGACCAGGGTCCCTGTTGCCCGGGAGACTGGCCGTGAGGACAGGAAGGGACCGTAAGGGGCCCCTCACATCCCACCTGGCAGGGGAACGGGGAGGGCCAGGGCTTCGGTGCCCCTGTACCGTGCACGGCTGCGCCCCCCGGAACCCCGTCAGAGCCGAGGCCTCTGCTCCCGCTCCCGCAGGCCGGCTCTGCCCCTGCCCTGGCTCTCCCGCTGGGGCCCAGCGAGTTGGGCAGACAGCAGCACCCCGACTCCCCCCAAGTGCCCCGTGCCAGCCTGTGCCCCACAGCGGGCGGGAGGAGGACATGCCCACGGCAGGGACATGCCCAGGGAGCGCCCCGAGGGCTGGCAGCTGTGGCCCTGAAGACAGCCACGCCCCTTAGAACCCTCCACGCCTACGCTTGGGCCCTGGGCTCAGACAGGCCATTACGACGGTCCCTGGGGACACTGTCCCCGGGCCAGCGCTCATGCTTCACACACGAACCACGGGACCCCCGCGGCCGGGACACACACGCCCTCTCACTGAGTCACAGCTCGGCCCTGTCTGTCCTCCCCCACATCTGTCTTCTGTCCCAGAAGTCTGGGCACCGTCCCAAGACTCACGCCTGGCCCCCACCCCCGTGTCCTCCACGGCCTGCACGGGGCCAGCCTCGGGGACTCACCCGGCGGCAGCACTTTCCGCTTGGGGCTCCTCTGGTCCACGGGCACGGACTGCCCCACCCCTGGCCCGGCCCCCTGAGGAGCGGTGGTGGCCTTGGCCATCAGGTAGCTCCCTTCGGCCGGGAAAAGGAACGAGGGGCCGGAGCAGCGAGGCTGGGAGGAGAGGAGGGCGCCTTGGTCCCCTCCTGCCCGGGGCTGCAGGTCGGTTTCAGGGCAAACTCCCGGGGCGGCGGTGGAGCGAGCTCCAGCCGGCCACAGCACGGCGGCAGGCCCCCCTCCTGCCCGCCCGGCCTCCGCCCGCCCTGGCACCCTGGCTGGGCTTGGAGGCTGGGGGTGCTGGGAGCTGCGGTGGCCACTTCCTGCCTTCCCTGTCACCTCCGGCTGCCGCCCGTCTCCAAGCAGCACCCAGGGGGCCTGCACGGGGGAGAACCGCCACGCCCTGGGCGGCAGAGAGGACTCCAGGTCCCCAAGGGGGTCACACAGAGTGACGTCCCACCAGGGTCACCCCGTGTGTTCACAGACTCATCCAACAGGGCGTGCTGGGCGCCCACTCCGGGCCAGGCACCGCGCCAAGCCCCGGCGGTTACCGGGACGGGCTCCAGGCTGGAGCAGCTCCACGGGCAGCGTCCCGGGCCAAGAACGCCGAGGTCTGCCCCCGGGACAGGCCACTCAGCTCAGGCAGCGCCGGGCCTCCCACCTCTGACTTTGGGAGCCCGGGGCCGGGCCAGAAGCCCTGTGGGGCGGGTCGCGGGGCTCTGGGAACCCCGGGGCTGGGCCAGCAGCCACCAGGGCGGCCGCGGGGCCCTACAGAGACGCTCCCCCGAGACACACGGAGGTGGGATGTGAGGAGGGGACCCAGTTCCACCAGGAGGGAGGGAAGGACAGAGCCCACCATCATCGGGTCTGTTCCCCACGGTCCCCTCCCCGGCCCTCCTGGGGTCTGGATGCCCGGTTCCAGGGCTGCCTCCACCCTGAAGCCCTCCTGGGTTGCACCGCACTTTCTGAGCCCTTCTGCCCCTTGTCCGAGCTCCTCTTAGCATATCCCAGGACAGACGGGCTGAGTGGTGGCTGGAGGAGGGGACCCCAGCTCTGCTGCTCTGCAGGGCAGGCTGGGCCCCGAGGGACGCCCCGTGCGCCTGAGGGTAGGCCGCGGGCTCTTTCCTGGGTGCACTGGGGACGGGGCGGAGCCTTGTTGGGGTCCCTGGAGGGAACCCCCTTCCCCGTGCCCAGGCAGGGGTGAAGGGCAGCCCAAGGGCGGTCTGACACGGATGCTTCACGGCGCCACCTCCTGGGCAGATGCCAAACTGCAGGCTGGGAGAATCCAGCCCCACCTGGAAACCACCTGGAGGGCGGGCCCAGTGCTAAAGGTGGGTACCAACTGACAGCGCCCGCCTGTGAGGGAGGGTCTAGCATCGTCCCCATGTTCCTCAGGAGGAAACGGACCCAGGTGACCCAGAGTGGGCCCGGTGGGGCTGACCCCACGGCCACACCCAGCTCCCCCGGCCCCCAGGCCGTGAGCCCTGAGGGACCGGCCCCAGCAAAGCACCTGTGCAGCTAGCTGTGCCTGGCACACAGTCGGTGCCCAATAAACGACTACTTCCAGGGATCCTCACCGTGCCCCAAGGGCTACTGACAGCCAGCCCAGCCCCAGCCCAGCCCAGCTGGGGAGACGGGTGTTTTAGGTCAAATAACGGCCCAAAGCCGCCCACTCCTAATCCGGAGCCTGTGGAGGCGTCCCCTTGCGTGGCAAAGGGGCTTTGCAGGTGTGACTGAGTGACGAGCTCGAGAGGCGGCGTCTCCTGGGTCGTCCCAGCGGGTCCGGCGCAATGGCGGGTCCCTATGGGGGCGACGGCAGTTGGGGTGGGGAGACGAGTGGCAGGAGCAGGAGGCTGGAGCGAGTGAGGACGGGCTGGGACCAGGGGACGCGGTGGCCTCGGGGAGCTGGAGAAGGCGAGAAACAGACTGGAGCCTCCGGAGGGGGCCGGCCCGCGGCCACCGCGCAGTCACCCTCGGGTGGCCCGTGTCCAGAACTGATAAGACAACGACTCTGCCTCTGCTTTGAGCCGCCAAGATCGTGGTGGTTTGTGACAGCAGCCACGGAAAACTACACAGCGGGGAAGAACTCAGTTCCCAGGCTCACAGTACCGCACTTCCCCGAAAAAACTCAAGTTCCCAGGCTCAGTACTGCACTTCCCGAAAATAAGCCCTCCCATAAGATTTAGCCTGAGCAGGATTCTAGCATGTGCACAATAGAAGCCCCACCCGAAATGACTAGTGACGGGCGTGGCTTCGCAGCGCATCGGCACGCGTGCGTTGTCGCCGTGGAAGCGGGAAAGAAGAGAGCGAGACCTTCTCATCCGCCTGTGAGATGCGTCTAGTGCCCGAAGCGGAGAGATCAGGGCGACGGGTTCTGAGGAAACAGGTCGCAAATCATTCAGGATGGAATTCGGTTTGGAGAGTGATGATGATGTTCCAGACAGAAGCGACTTCACTTATATTTGAATTCGAATTATAGATGGTTGTCCCGTACTTAAAAAAAATAACCATCCCATGAGAATAAGCCGTGGGTGTCTTCATGAGAAGAAGTAAATATAAGAGCCCCGTTTTTTCAGGAAAACCTGCTAGGCTCAACAAATGCCTATCCTCTGAGGTGGTTCGATTCAGGGAGTCCCAGCCTGCTCAGTCATCCACGTCTTTGACGGGGAGGAAGGCCCAGCGCTCACAGTGTCTGGTTGCTTGACCCCAATCCAAATCACACTGCACCACCCCAGGGAAGCAGGCAGCCTGTGGGGGGGAGT